TNTTGTGGCGTGTTGCGGCGTGTTGTGATGTGTTGTGTGGTATGTTGTGGTGTTTGATGTGCTATGACAAAACGCAATTGCGGTCAATTAAGTATGTCAACATGGTGTTGGGCTTATGTGAAAATATTAGTTAGAATTGTACTATTATTTGTGGCTCTTGTCATGCTGCTGTTGTTGACGTTGTCGTCGTTTTAGATTGCTTCTTATTGTCGCTATTGTCCTGCATGACTCTGACTGACTGGATGGCTGACCTGTTGTTGTGAGTCTGGAAGTGTTATCAACTCTGGGCTATTTCTTTAATGTTGTTGATATTGTTATGCTATGACACTGCCGTTGTAATGTTTTTCTGTCTGTTTTTGGCAGTGAATAAAATTTTATTAGTGCTGCTCGTTCATGTCTAGTGATACAAAAAACTGAAGGCTTAGCCACTAATAACTTGGTTAGCCACTAATAACTTGAATGTTGATGGAGATAAGGGAGATGATGCTTCTTTCAACGTTTTGCACATCTGGACACCTTAGTTCGCTGGTTAGGGTTAGGGTTAGAGCCTAATATTTGGCGTCATTAACAGTAGAGATGGCATTTCAAGCACTTCATTTTCATAATTTATTGATTTCATATAAATTAACACCGTTGCAAGTTATAACGATGATGATGACAATGATGCTGGAGATGATATTAATATTATTTTCACTATTGTTAAGGATGATAATGATAATAACAATAATATAATAATAATAATTATAAGATTATATTAATAAGATTATTGCTGTACAACTAAAACAAAAAAATTGTTGGAAAAATTATGGGGAACACAAATATGTTTTTAGAATTTGGTTTTAATAAATATTTTAAATTTAGTAGTTTAATTTTCATAATTTTAATCTTAAATCCATTTAACTCTGTACGTGCAACATTATGTCCGCATTGTTTTAAAGATTTTAAGTTTGTAAACAGACATTCCTGGCGTTGTACAAATATACGTTCAAACTCCAACTTAAATATTTCACCTAACAGTAACATTGACATTTTTCCAAATTTACTAACAATTAATAATAACAATATTTTACCGGATAATTCATATAATTCGCTGTCATGTTGTTGGGGAAAGTCATGCAAAGGACGAAAAGGACTGTCAATGCACCAGAGATCGTGTAAAATATACAAATCTCTCAAGCCAGTAACTCAGGAAGATGAATCAAACGACAGCGACGTAACCAGCCACCCAATATTTCAACACACGTCAACTTCAACATCTACTCCAAAGCCAATACCCGGAATAAAATTGCCCAAATCATCAACTCAGTGGTCTGAGGCCAACGCATTCTTTCAGCTGGAATTTAGATGTCTAGACGCTATCACAGATATCGACAGTTTCGCTAACAGGTTCCAAGAGGCAATCTATCCATATTTTGCTGCCAACTGTGGCATTTTAAAAATGAAATCAAAACCTGTTGAGCACATAAATCGTGATATTAGGCGTTTAAAAACAAAATTGAGAAATTTAAAATCGTTGGCTCAGATCGACACTCGATTCAACAATGAAATACGTATGCTGAGCAAACAGATTAGAGCAATACTAAAAAACCAATAAAATACTAAAAAATGATAACAACAACATTTCTTTTCAACTGAAGAAAAACTTTTGGAAAACATGTAACAACATCTTTTCAAACTCAACTTTGCAGTCTCCACACCTCAGCATCGAAGCTGCCACCAATTTCTTCAAAAACACCTTGAACGCTGGCGATCGCACAACGTTTCGCATCCCTAATTGGATGAATTCACTTCCTGCTCCTTCATTCCAAGGTAATTTGGATCCGCCATCGTATAAAGAAATTACAACAGTTATTCGTAGAAGTAAAGCAAAGGCATCTCCATGTCCACTGGACCAAATCTCAATTATTGCCCTCAAAAGATGCCCAATAATAAGGACGTATCTACATAAATTGTTGGTAATGTGTTAACGCTCAACAACAATTCCACAATGTTGGCGTAGGGGGCTAACAGTTTTAATCTACAAAAAAGGTGATGCAAGCGACCCAGCAAATTTTCGGCCGATCACACTGCAACCGGCACTCTACAAAATTTTTTCAGCTCTCATAAAATCCAGACTATACAATTTTTTAGACAAAAACAATTTCATCAACAAAAATATTCAAAAGGGATTCTATCCAACGATTAATGGGCTAGCCGAACATACACAAATGCTATCACATCTGTTAAAAAATGCTAAACGACATCAGCGCACTATTGTTGTCGCATCGTTGGATCTGAGAAATGCTTTTGGAGAAGTAAATCACAACTTCATCACTTCAATTCTAGAATATCATCATGTTCCCCAATCACTTCATAAATTAATATCATCAATATATTCCGACTACTCAATATCAATAACAATCAACGGTGAACTCACGCAAGCGATACCAGTCAGGAAAGGGGTGCTTCAAGGCGACCCATGTTCACCATTACTCTTCAATATTTGCTTCAATCCACTCATGAAAATTCTAGAGAGTTAAGAATACAAACAATATGGCTATCTGTGGGGCCCAACTTCCGACTTAAACGCTAGATCATGGCTAAAATTTGCTGACGGCTCAGCAATCATAGCACATAGCTCAGAAGGCGCACAAAAACTTGTTGATTCAAACCAAGCTTGGTGCAATTGGTCAGAGATGGAGATGAGAGTCGATAAATGTTGTTCGTTTGGAATGAGGAAGAAAGATGGTACTTATGAGCAATTTCTGCCAAGATTGACGATCGACGATGTGGCAATCCCTGACGTAGAGATTGGCCAAGCGTTTACATACCTTGGTAAACTGTATGATTTCGAATGCAACGATCTCAAAGCAAAAACTCTGATACAAGCTAAGGTTGTTCAACTGTTGGAAACAACTTCAAAGTTGAACGTGGATCCACAGCAAAAACTACAAATTTTAACAAAATTTATACGGTCTCAATTGAACTTTGAACTCCACAGCTACAACTTTTTGCTGACATGGATGTCAGAGAACCTAGATAATCTGATTGTTAACGCTGTCAGGGAGTGGATAGATATGCCAATCAGTGGTTGTGTGTCTGAACTACTTTCTCTGCCAACAACAATGGGTGGTCATGGCATCATTTCATTAAAAGATGCGACAGAAAAAATGAGACTGAAACTTTGGAATTATTTTAAAACTATTAGCAACAAAGAGATTCAATGTCTTTATAAAGAATCAGCGATCGATTTTATCAAAGTAGATAATACGCTCTTAAAATACGGCCAAATAAAGTCGTCGCTTAGTCATTTTGAAGAAAAAAGAATTGAATGTAGCTTAAATCATGTTTTCTCGCTGCAGAGTCAAGGTTCACTAATTTTAAATATAAAAAATTTCATCAAAGCCAACATCATATTCCGTTGGTCAAAGTCCACGGAAAATCTTGACGGAGTCCTCTACAAATTTGCTAGGAAGTATTTAGTCCAGCAGTTGCCTACTAATGCAAATTTGTTTAGATGGGATAAAACGCAAAGCCCTCAATGCCCTCTCTGTGATTCTCGACAGACAAATAAGCACGTAGTTTCCAATTGTGGTTCTACATCCGCTCTGGCAAGATATACCGAAAGACACAACAAGATATTGGTCGTGATCATCAATTGGCTGAAAATATCCGCTCCAGCTAATTGCCTCTTATTTGCAGATTTAGAGTCTGAGGGTATTCGCCCAATATCTCAATTATTCAACACTTTACGACCCGATATCGCCATACTTCAAAATAACAAAATTGAGATTCTAGAATTAACTGTGTGCCATGAAACCAATCTGGAATCCTCCAGGCAATACAAGAGAAATAAATACTCTAATAATTTGCATTGTTGTTTAAATAAAGACTATGAACATTGTTCAATAGTTATAAACTCATTCGAAATAACGCCTGTTGGTTTTTACAATAATTTTAATTTGTTACTGTTTAAAGTTCCATGGCCGCTATCATTTAATGATAAATTGATAAACACTGTTATAAGATTATCGTATGACATTTACTGTGACAGGAAAAAGCTATGATGCTAATTAAATATATTTCACCGTTCTGCACTTAACTTCACAATGAGCAAAACGGTCTTAACCTTTAATATTATTTTATACAATTTTTAAACATTTTATCATTGCGCATTATTTAATTAACATTAACTTATATATTTATATATATATATATATATATATATATATATCATTGTCTGTTTTTTTATGGTGAAAAATAAAAGGTGTTCCCATTATTATTATTATTATTATTATTATTATTATTATTATTATTATTATTATTATTATTATTATTATCATTATTATTGTTATTACTAAAACCATTACGATTATCATTGCTAAAATTACTATTACCATTATTATTAGCATTACTATTTATCATTATTATTGGGATTATTATTACTATCACCATCATTATTATCACCACCACTGTCATTTTTATTATCATTGCCATTACCAATATTATTATTACTATCAATATAATTATGTAATTATTGTGACATTGATAAGGAGATCGAGATTGCGGTGGTATGGACATGTGTTGAGAAGGGATGAAAGGGTCGGGATTAGGCGAGCGTTGGAGTTCGAGGTTGAAGGAGTTGTAGGAAGGGGTCGTCCGCGATTGGGATGGAGAGAGTAGGTGGAGAAGGACAGGGTGAAAGCGGGGTTGCGTGATACTGAGGCGAGTGACAGATGTGGATGGCGTCGAGGGGTATTTCGGTTTCATCATAGGTAGCCAAACGGCAACCCCCGATCTCGGGGAAAATGTCGTTCAAACGTGTGTTGTTGTTGACATTGACATTGAAACAGTGCTGAAAATGATAATTCCAATTTATATTAGGCAAATAATTATTTATATCATTATAATTAGCATTGTTAAAACCATAGGAGTACGTTTTGATGAATGGGTTGACGTCTGGTGGGTTGTTGAAGAAACAATTGATTTGAAAAGTGATGATGTTGTAATCACTTGGGGCAAGCGGACTGATAATCTCTAACACAGCCAGTAAACTGGAATCACCAGAAAGTACCAAGTCGAGGACATTTTGACCTCGAGTGGGCTGATCGACCAGTTGTTGCAGACCAAGTTCATTAAAAAGTTGAATAAATGAATTATATATTGAGTTATTTGGTGAAGAATAATTGGTCCAGTTGATGAGTGGGAGATTGAAGTCACCTAACAAACAGTTGACATGACTTCTACACAGCTCTCTAATGCATTGTGTGCTATCAGTGGCATAATCATCAGCCGACCTGTCAAAACCACCAGGACGATAGTATGATATGAAGCGGTGATGCGTAGATGATATGGTAATATCAATAGATACTATTTCGATGTGCGAGTATTTAGTTGGTATTATGACCTCTTTGAAAGATATTGAGTTTTTAACGGTAAAGCCCACGCCTCCACCACGTGATCCACGATCTTTTCTAACAAAAACGTATCCGGGAGATAAAAACAAACTGTCACAATCATCTGGAGAAAGCCATGTCTCAACAACAGAAAAAATATCCAAATCATAATCAGATAAAAATAAAATTAAGTCATTCTTTTTATTTTGTAAGCTTCTGACGTTAGAGGCATGATTTTAACGAAAGGGCTGTCTATTGTCAGTCTCCTCCGCTTTAGATTTGTCACCGGCTGATTTGGCAAGGCGTCGTGCCTGGCGCTTGATGTAAGCTTGTTCTGCCTATCTTTTTGACAAATCAAAGTTTATAAAAATATTCCTCGTATCAGGCTTTAAACGTAGGATCCTAGAAGAAGATATTAAATCATCTACTGCCGATGGTCCGAACAAGGTAACACATAGTTTTGAGCTGCCAACACGACGTGTTTTAACGACATGTGGTTTGATCGCCAGATGTTTCTCACAGAGATCCAGAAATGATCACGTTATTGGCTCGGCGTTCCTCATCTTTACGCTCTCGTTCAACTATCCACAGGGCCTTGGTCATCTGCTCAATCATTGGTGTCTCGTTGAGCTTCAATACCTGTTTTTGACACTCAGAGATACCGGTAGACAATGTGGACATAGTATTGTGAAGTTGACACATCAAATCAGTGACGGCGTCTGACATACTTTTGACCGCTTGCTCGAAGCTATTACTGAGGGCCTCCATTCGCAGCAATGTTGATTCAAAAAGTTTGCTCATTAAACCCTCCGAGTTAGCCAGTGATTTGCGCAAATTTTCGTTTGACTTTTCAATAACCAACGTCAGGCTGGAGTCAAACTTTTCAAATATCTTTTCAAGACTGTTGATGGACAGAGTTATGACTTTTTTAAGGTTTTCGTTAGATTTCTTAAGCAGATTGTCGAAACACTTCATAGTATGATCATTTGACTTATCTAGTATTTTGGCCACAATACTTTCAAATGACTCGACGGGGATTGATGTTTGATGTTTTGTCGATGACATGATATTATGATACGTATCAAAATTAGGATATTTTAAATAATATTTTTAATGGTTAATTATTTAGTTCAGTTTAATAGTCTGTGAAAATAAAACAAAAAAAAAACAAAATTTCACGCAGCGCAAAGCGATACAGAAATTCAAAACAAACAACACAACTTTGGAGACAATCCTATAACACAACTATATCTTTATTATTACGTCGAATAAACACTATTTATAATTGAATTTTGATAAAGTGAAATAAATAAAACTAATTTAACCGCAATTAATTAACTAACAAAAAATTATATCATTTAATGCCGCAAAATTTGTCCATTTGACGAATCCAAATTGAATGAATATATATATATATATATATATATATATATATATATATATATAGCGTGAAGTTAAGAAAATAATTATAATTCAAAAAAATACACATACATATACACAGACATAACATGAGGTTCAGACATAGTTCGAGGATATATTTTTAAATATATACAAAATATAAGATTATAAAAAAATTATTAATAGTTCGTCTAGATTATAATTGGTTTTTTAAATATATATATATATATATATATATATATATATATATATATATATATATATATATATATAGCACGTATGCATACCTAGGGGAAAGCACCGTGCAAGTCTATAAATAGCCTGCGCAAATGAGTTTAGTCTCTTTCTTTTCTGTGGCTCTTGAGCCGGAGTCGACGTTAGAAAAGTTTGTTATTGTATCGTTGCATTTTCGTTAATTTGATTTTTTCGGTTATTTATTTAGTTAGGTTTCAATAAAGGGGAATTAATAATATATCTGTTGTTGCGTTCAGTTAATATCGAACCCGTTACATTGGCACCATAAGTGGGGTAGTTATTTAATTGGTGTATGACAATAATTGGATAATTAAATAACTAATAGGACGTTTTATCATTTGTATAAAAAATTAATTAAGTGCTTAATTATAAGTTATTTTTTGTTGTAAGTTGATAATTCATTATAACAATGGATCGATTAACGAAAACGACACAACAAGAATTGCGGATTCTATCTAACGAACAGATAACGAAGAAACTATTGAAGAGATCAATCGACGAAGCCAGTGTGCGATTGATGAATAGATCACAACTGTTAGAGACGTGGGCAACAATTTTGGCGGGCAGCGTTGAATCTCCATGCAGCATTGTGACGGAGGCCGCTGTGTCGAAAGATACTGAAGGTGGATAGACCTTATACGAAAGAAAACAGTTAAAAATGGAATACAAGCTTTGAGAAGCGGAGATTCTTAGACAACGAGAAAGAGATGAGAGGGAATATAAGCTTAAAGAGACAGAGATGACCAGACAGCGAGAAAAAGATGAAGCAGAATTTCGGCTTAAGAGCCAAGAATTAGAGATTCGACGACTAGAAGTAGAAGGTATGAATAATCGAAAAGTAGCCAATGATGCTAATGAGGATAATAATACAATTAAACTAATGCAACAAACTCGATTTTTTGCGGAGTCATTAAAACATCTAATAGGAACTTGTCCGTTAGAACCTAGAAATATTACTATATATATATATATATATATATATATATGCAATATTCTATAATTTCTACCGAATGTTTGGCGTTAATATGTTTGTAGTTCGTTTTTTCAATTTTTCTCGCTAAAGTTTTTTGGTGAACGTTTATTTTATTAAAATTCAAAATAAACTTATTTTCTGAATTCATGCTGCAAATAAGGCCATATTTCGATTCCGAATTTTTTTTTTATTAGTCTTTATTATTGTAGCTCTGACATACGCAGAACCACTTACAATGTTACAAATATATATTATCTATATATTTTTTTATTATGTTCTTCAAATCCTCATCTATTGATTTGAAGCAGCCATTTTCGCCACAAAGGCTGTTTATCCTTGTCACACGACGTACACATGTATTTATGTGCACTAGGGTGGTTACAACGCTATATGTAAAAAAAAAATTTCGAAATCTTATCGGGGGAACCCCCTAAATTGTGCCACTTGACTAAAAAATGACATTTGTAAAGTTTTAGCTCAATTGGATAATGCTAACCCGTGCCTCATCGAGGTTGAAATTTCGAAAAATTGGAAAATTTAGAAAAAAAACGCAGTTTTTTGTATGTAAAATAAAAACGGTTCACTCTAGAAACATGATTTAAATTTTATTTTGTTCATTGATTTGTTTTCTTCAAATGTTACTATGTGATCACTATTTAGCTACAAATTATAGTTTCTGACATATTTGCAATGTTACAGATACACATTGAAAAAACGTTGAATTTCACTATAACACAAAAACACACAAAAACTTAATTTGTTTATGAAGAAATGTTTTTAAAATAACACCGTTGTATCTAAATCATTATTATTAACAAATAAACTTATTTTTTAATCATATTATATTGTTTATAGTTGTAATACATCAAATAAATTACTACTTTAACTCATTGTTTGTTCAAAAGGTAGAGGCTCGGATAAGGAGGCTTTTGAGCAACCAGGAAATTTTGTCCGACATTCAGCAATTACCTGCAAAAGATATTGTTTTTGTTCTTCGACTTTTGTAATACATGAGTTGTAATCTGTTATTAATTTAACACCCCTCTCTGCTGTATCATTTGTAACTTTTAATCCGTCCACAATCTTTTTACTCTTCAAATATTTTTCGTTATTACTCCATAATTCTGGATTGGTATGCAAAAATTGATCATTAATATTATATCTTTTTGAAAAATTGATTGATTGTGATGAAATAAAATGGTCAACATTTTTGTCTAATATCTCTGATACTTCATTTAATTTTATTAGTGGTTTCATATCACAGTAGTCATCAAGTTCTTCATCCTCATTTGCTTGAGATATTAATTTTGATGCCATTCTCTTTTTTACACAATTACTTAATGAATCATCGAATAATGAAAAAACAGCCTGCTCTGGATTGAGGTACCATAAGTGGTTTATAAATTTTGAAACTGATTTATCTGAGATAAATTTATTGACTTTATTGTAATTTACCAAAGATTTTAACAATTGTAAATCTTGGTTTGGAGCAAGTGCAGGTTTCGGGGCATCCAACCACACTTTCACATAAATATTTATAATAAATAGACAAATATCATGGAATCCTTGCTTTTCAAAATTTGTCAGTTGAAACTGTTCTCTTAAAAGGTATATTTTCAATGAATATATCGCTTTCGCCATCCACCTTGCGTGATGAAAAGCACCAGGAGCCGCAAACACGATGTTTTCTGACGGAAAGCGTTCTAAAAATATAAGACAAAGACTAATCAATTCTTTGTAATCGCTCCTTGAATGATGAACTGTTAATTGTTTTAGAAGATAACTTGAAATTTGATCCGGATTAATCAATTTGCTGGCTACACTTTTATCTTTAACTCCTGATTTAAATTTTTTTTTATCAATGCTGTTCCATTCAGTTTTAAATTTTTTGAAAATATCCGATTGAGGGCCTGTAGTCTTTCCCAATGCAGCATCAAAACCTGATCTCAACACTACCTCCAAAATGTGGTGGCGACATGAAAGATACAATAATTTTTTCTCCATCAATTGCTCTAATAAAACGCAAGCGCCTTTAATGCGGCCAGTATTCACGGCAGTTGTGTCAAAGGACATTGCTTGAATCTTGTCTAGTGCACCCCACTTTCCAAGTTCTGAATAAACAGATTTTGCAATTGTACTGCCAGCACCATTTTCTAATAGGGGAACTCCAATTAACTGTTCTTCTTCTCCACAGCTAATTAAGACTGCAACTCTTTCAACATTTTCTTTATTTAACATATCTGGAAGTAATTTCCCACCCCAATGTACAACTGCTCCTTCTAATTCTGAATTTGTAAATCTTTGTTGAATGAGTTTTGCTCTTTATTTTCTAAATTCTTGCCGGCGCAAGCGGATGACACTCCTACTTACAATATATTGCTGAGAATCATGGCCAAGAGATTCAATTGTAGCTGATATTATTCTAGCTGCGTCTCTATCTGAAATAGCACACCTATCCAATATTAGAAATAACTTTTCATTAACAATTTCTTCAGTACCTCTAGTGTATTTTTTCATCTTTTTTTCAGGCCCATAATTTAGTGTCACCATATCTACCTTCTCTGTGCGTTGATCATTATCTTCAATTTCATCTTCATCTGACGTGCTGCTACCTAAATATTTAAGCTCTTCTAATTCTAAAATATAAAACACATCATTATAATTAAACAAGAATAACAATCTACTTTTAATTAACTCACCTGAACTTGTCCTAAATTTTGTTAACCTCGCCATTTCCGAAGCATTTCTTTTTTGCCAACGCTCTTCAGCTTTTACACACTGTAAATCAACTCCTCCCATGACACCTGGGCGCCCCTTTTCTCTCTGCTTAAGCAAAAACAATTTGTCTTCCTCTGTTGCAGTCTGGAGTGCATCTTGATGAGCTATGTCAAATAGGTCATCAAGTATGGCCTTAAAAAGTTTTTCTTTCTCTGTCTGAGCTGGTCCAGTTCTGTTAGAATTTTTTTGTAGTTTTCTCCATTCTTCATGAAGTTTTTCTAGCTTAGCAACAGAGTCTTTCAAATGTTTTGTTTGTATCCTTGCTTTCTCCCAGAAAATAAAAACTTTTTTTATGGTTAACCTAGCCGCATCTTTTATATTCAGCTTTACTTGACGGATGTTATAAAACAAACTACGTAACACTTGACGATTTGATGGTAATTTGCCACCAGTAATTTGGTGGGTCACAAAACCAATTAAATAAATTTTATCCTTTTGTCTTGAACTTCTCGGAGCAGATGTAGATAAAAAGGAAGCCATCACAACTGAGAATACCAAAACAATAAACGTGGTGATTAAACTATTTAATATCGTGTGTTTTAAAAACCGGAAAAACAAAGAATATAAACCAAAGATGAAAAAACGTGGATAAACCAAAAGATCTTAATATTAATACATAAAAACAACATATAGCACCCGGGTTAGTAATAGTAAATAAGTTATTGTGTGTTTTTGTGTTATGGAGAATTTCAACGTTTTTTCAATGTGTATCTGTAGCAATGCAAATATGTCAGAAACTATAACTTGTAGCTAAATAGTGATCATAGTAACATTTGAAGAAAACAAATCAATGAACAAAATAAAACTTAAATCATGTTTCTAGAATGAACCGTTTTTATTTTACAAACAAAAAACTGCGTTTTTTTTTCAAAATTTTCCAATTTTTCGAAATTTCTACCTCGATGAGGCACGGGTTAGCATTATCCAATTGAGCTAAAACTTTACAAATGTCATTTTTTAGTCAAGTGGCACAATTTAGGGGGTTCCCCCGATAAGATTTCAAAAAAAAATTTCTTGTGACCACCCTAATGTGCACGCGCAAGCACCGCATCATATACGCTGAGTATATGATAGCCATTGAGATGTTTGACTCAGCGAGCATTTGAACCACTGAGCCATCTCGCCGGCCAACATGCGACAACTTACGTCGTCTACCCATTTACCAACTTCGAAAGGATGGACGGCTGGGTTGACCGGGGGTCGGCTACCCGGATGAACCTGTAGAAACTGCAGAATTCTAACCCGGGTCGTGGGAGTGGTAGACGGACACGCTAACCACTCGGCCTCGAGACCACTGAATGAATCATCATCAGTGCTTTTTGATGTTTATATAGGGAAATATTGACTTTGTCAAAATGAACTTAGATGAAAATTGACTTTGTCAAAATGAACTTAGATGGAAATTAGGTGTCAGGTTTTTTTATTGGCTGGTCATCTTTTTTGGTCTTCTTTTCTTCATCAATAGCATCATATTCTTCTTTGTCACTATTTACAATGCTAGTTTTTATTACTTCTTTGTTTTCATTGTTGGTAAAGCGCCGGGTTGGAAGTGAGGTTGAAAATGACAACATAGCACATACACTCATTCACGTTCACAAAAACACTCACGTAAACACACACCTGTTCATCCACACACACTCACACAAGCACAGCACTCATCCACACACACTCACACAAGCAACCACATTCACATAACGCTTACATGAACATGCTTTCCCAGATAACTAGATGGTGGTGTCGGGATCTAAGTTTGTTAAAAAGTTACGTAGTTTCCTCTTAAAAAGTTGTAGGTTTTTGATTTCATGTAACTGAGGAGGAAGCAGTTCAGCCCAAATTTTTGGTCCAGTAAGTTTAATATTTGACGAAAATAATTTAATACGGATTCTATGTGTGTAAAAGAATTGGGTGTGTCTTGTATGGGCAGATAGAATAAAATTGCTTGTTGTGTAAAGGTGGTCTAGAAGAGTAGGAAGAAGTTTATTTAAAAATTTGAAAGCAAGTATGGCTGTGAAATAACAATATATAAACCTTAATGGTAGAATACTGTTAAATACAAAAAAAGGTTTAGTTTGGGCAAAAGGATTAGTATTAAAGATAAGCCGTATTGAGCGTTTTTGAGAAAGCGTAATGTTGTACAAGTGACTTTTAGGACTGTTTCCCCATACAGTTATGCAGTTTTACAACAGTTTTAAAACCATGTCTCGGTTTTAATTTATTTAAAAAATATTCTGACAGTAAATATTTTATTATTTTACACCAATTGACACAATATTGTATGCTTAAAAGATTATCAAAAATTATTATTCATTGCAAAATTATAGTTAACACACTGTATCAAAATATATTTACTAAATGACAATTTTATAACAGTTGTTAAACCATGTCTCGGTTTAATTTATTTAAAAAATATTCTGACAGTAAATATTTTATTATTTTACACCAATTGACAGATGGTAGGTAAAGTTGGTGGTCAATAGTAGACACGGTTTTAACAACTGTTGTAAAATTGTCATTTAGTAAATATATTTTGATACAGTGTGTTAACTATAATTTTGCGATGAATAATTATATTCGATAATCTTTTAAGCATACAGTAATGCGTCGATTGATGTAAAAAACAAAAAAATTTACTGTCAGAATATTTTTTAAATAAATTAAAACCGAGACACAATTTTAACACCTGTTGTAAAAATGTCATTTACTAAATATATTTTGATACAGCGTGTTAACTATAATTTTGCGATGAATAAATGTATTTAATAATTTTTTAAGCACACAATATCGTGTCGATTGTTGTAAAATAACAAAATATTTACTGTCAGAATATTTTTTAAATAAATTAAAACCAAGACACGGTTTTAACAACTGTTGTAAAATTGTCATTTAGTAAATATATTTTGATACAGTGTGTTAACTATAATTTTGCGATGAATAATTATATTCGATAATCTTTTAAGCATACAGTATTGTGTCGATTGATGTAAAATAACAAAAAAATTTACTGTCAGAATATTTTTTAAATAAATTAAAACCAAGACATGGTTTTAACACCTGTTGTAAAAATGTCATTAAGTAAATATATTTTGATACAGTGTGTTAACTATAATTTTGCGATGAATAATTATATTCGATAATCTTTTAAGCATACAGTATTGTGTCGATTGATGTAAAATAACAAAAAAATTTACTGTCAGAATATTTTTTAAATAAATTAAAACCAAGACACGGTTTTAACACCTGTTGTAAAAATGTCATTAAGTAAATATATTTTGATACAGTGTGTTAACTATAATTTTGCAATAAATAATTATTTTTGATAATTTTTTAAGCATACAATATTGTGTCAATTGGTGTAAAATAATAAAATATTTACTGTCAGAATATTTTTTAAATAAATTAAAACCGAGACATGGTTGTAACAACTGTTGTAAAATTGTCATTTAGTAAATATATTTTGATACAGCGTGTTAACTATAATTTTGCGATGAATAAATATATGTAATTTTTTAAGCATACAATATTGTGTCGATTGGTGTAAAATAACAAAATATTTACTGTCAGAATATTTTTTAAATGATTTAAAAACAGAATTTCTTTAACGAAATTCGTTCGTTAACATTTATTGGATCGAATAAAATCAAATTTTTTTTTTAAGTTGAAACACGTGTTTTTAAATTTGCATTTGCATCATTCATTAATGATTTCTTTAACTTCTTAAATTTCTCCATTTCAACTCAAAAGTCTTTCGGCACTCCATATTTATATGTCGTTGATCGTGAAATTTGAAAATCACTTTCATGAAACTGGTGTTACGGACGTCTTACCTACGTTTGTAACGTCAAGTTATATTGTGGTAAAATTTTAGAATAAATTTTTATTAATAAGTAAAGTACACAATTTTTAAATTTTTTTTAATTTAAACTTTTGAATTTTAAACTTTTATTATTAAAAGTAATCTAATTAAGTCCAATTAGTTTACTGTTGGTGGTTGAGACAAGAAAGAAAAATGAAAATGATTAAAAAATGAGATCCTGCTTCCTTTGTTTTTTAATAATTTATTCTATTTTTGATTTTTTGTTATGTCGGTAGAAAATTTAAAAGCAAAAATTTTGAATATAGTTGAAAATGTTGAATCCAACAAGTCATGGCTTTGTCAATTAAATGAATTAACATCTTTGCATTGTGGTATCTACAAATCAGTGGTTGGTGATCTTTGTAACACAGGCAGTTTGTTCTTCAAGGCTTGTTTACTTGGTGATGATGATTTGGTTTCTTACTTGATACCTTATGTTACAGATATCAACAGAGAAACTGATCAGGTAATTTTTAATTGGTTGTTATTTTGACAATCCTTTAGTTTAGGTGCCAAAATTTCATTATTCAAATTTGTTTGATGAATGGTTGTAGTTCTGTGTTGTACATTGTGAGAGCTGTTTTTGCATAATGGGTTTTTGACAGACTAGAATTAGAAGGACATAGTATAGATAGTGGAAACTAATTTTGTTGTTGCCCTTCTTAGATGGCCGGTGGGTGCTCCAGGCGATGCCTGAGCCAATTCGCCACCTCAACCGGGTTCTTCCACAGATCTATTGACATGAGATGAGTGTGGTTCTTCGAGCAGCTGAACAGATGGGGGACATCGTCAGGTTGTTGAAGGCAGAAAAGACAGATGTTGTGCCCGCTGTCAATTCTTGCCTTGTAGCTACCAAGAAAGATGCAATGGCCAAAGCGGAGCTGGGCTAGGGTCTGTATGATTGCCCTGGGCAAACTTTCTTCTGTTTTGTCTATTTTTGGGGTTGGAGGAGGCCATCCGTTGAGTAGCTTTGACGGTGTGATGGTAGGATGATCATCAAGATTTAACTCCTTGATGGTTCTAGTAGTGATTCTATTTAATTTGTTTGAAGTGTGTCGATATGTTGTAGTAAACTGTTTGTTGAATAAGTTTGCCATTTGCAGGTTGTTTGATGTTGACCTGTTGTTGAAAATGATGGCTTTGTTGGGATATTGAGATGGTTTGCCACTTAGAGTTTTTATGGTACTCCAAAGGCGATGGGTGTTAATATTTCTATTGAATGTACCCAGGAAATTCTTCCAGCGAGATTGTTTTAGTTTGTTGATTTTGTTTTGTATATCTGTTGATAGAATGGCAATGTCCCTTGCTGATGGGTTTGAGGATTTGAGAGCATCCCGTTGCTTCATGAGCCCCAAGATTTCACTCAGAAGACCCTAGTGATGATGTTATTCGTCTTCCTAAGGAAATGTTGTGTTTGCTTGTGGTCCATAGAATATGACGGAACAACTTCTCAGCTGCTGATGGGTCAGACGGGAAGGCTGTTTTGGAAAACACGGCTTCGGTTTCATTGGTGAAACCAATCCATTAAAGCCTTTTCAAAGTTTATTATTTTATTTATTTTGGGGTGGGGTTTTAGTTGGTGAAAATATTGTTTGCAGTGTGATGTGCATCGGGAGGTGATCTGATGAGAGTGCTGTCACTGTAGACCAATCCATTCTGATCAGGGTGTTTGATGTGACGGAGATATTTGGTGATGAAGTAGAGGTCTACGCAGGAACACATTTTTATTCCCTCATCTGCCCCTCCTGAAAATGAATTTACCTCACCCGCACCCATTCTCTCACAAGTCTTCCCTCACCCACACTCATTCCCTCACAAGTCTTCCCTCGCCCACACCCATTCTCTCACGAGTCTTCCCTCACCCGCACTCATTCCCTCACAAATCCTCATTTTCCCGCACTCATTCTCTCAATAATTATATCATTATTAACAAAGACAATAAAGTATCCATAGCCAGAGTATTATGTAGTACATTCTATGTACAATTTTTATTATAAAAACAAACAAAAATACTGGTTAATGTTAGTGTTTCAGTAAATTGTTTGTAAATTTTATACCACTCCTTGACTATTGAGATAATAAATACGTTATTCGCTGACTTTTGGAAGATATTAACTTGTTGACTGCCGATTTGTCCATATTTACCAAACTGCTAACACGAGGTTGTCGTCGAAATAAAAAAACAAAATGAAAATAGAACTCGCTGATCACGTATTTATCTGTGTAAAAAGACAGATTCTGTATTCAAGTTGCATACTTAATGTTGTGTTTTGCTGTTTTGAAGTGTTGAAACACAAACTAAATAGAAAACAATAAGCGTAATGTACGTATACTAATTTATTACGTAAAATAAATATAACGTTCTATAACCAAACGAATTGAAACGAATTGAACGAATTAAAAAGCATGTCACAGTAAAAGTCACATTGTACATTAATTATCGCCCAAAAAGAAATAGAATAAATAGTGATGTGCCCTGCACATAACACTTAATATAATTGGTCACGTGTCCTTTCGTGTTATCACAATGAATATTATTTAGCGTAATGCATATGCATCTGTGAGCTTGCTTAACTTTAAACATAGTAATAATAATCTAACTTTTTCAATTGTGGTACTGTTCAAGCTATGAAGTTTCTCATTAATTTTCAACATTTTTGGAACTTCGCTATCAAAGTCAAGTCAACTGCGGTTTTCCCTCTAAAATTTTTCCCGTCCCGCGGTACTTCCCGCACGAAAAATATCCCCCCGCGGTTTTCCCTCGCTTTTCATTCCCGCCCCGCGAGTTTCCCTCTAGCTTCTGTTCCCAACCTGCAGTTTTCCCGCGGGTATTTGCGGGAAATTTTCCATGTAGACCTCTATGATGAAGGTTGACCGGTTGTAGGCAAACGGGTTGGGGTATCCGTGTTGAGTGTGCCACATTCTGAGTTTTCGATTTCCCAGGCCAGGGCTTCTCCTCGTGAATCTTCCAGGCCTGAGTACCAGAGCGGAACATGTGCATTCATATCACCTAACACAGCCACGTTTGGTATATCTAGAAATGTTGATATTGAAGCTGCGAAACCGGAGGGAGAGACGGATTGTGGAGGGATGTAGATGTTAACGATGTTGATATCTTCCCCGTTGACCCTGATCATGATGGCTTGACTCTCTGTTGTTGTTAAATCAGGAGTAGATCTGATAGTGTAAGAAATGCCGTTGACAAAAACCCGCTTTGACATCCAGGTTGGGAGGGGAAGTTGCAACGGTTTGTTGGAGGCTGTTGGTCTTGACGCCAGCAATTGGTCCAATCGGCTCCACCGTGGGAAGGTCGTTGCTCCAGACCTTTAATTTTTTTGTGGAGGATCATGATCACACTTGAACCACTAATTGTGCAGCATATCTTGCCTGGTTCACACTTCAATATTTCAGATGGATAGGCATCGTATGCTAACTTAAGCAGTAGAGTCCCTAGCGGATAATCACAATGTGCTACACACATATGTACACTGCAGATGTCATCAGAGAGGTTTTCATTGTTACCTTTATGCTGATGATATCCAATCGTACGGATCTGGTCGGCCCGAGTCATCGTGTCGGGTGAATGATATGGTGTCCGGCGCAATAAACGCAGTGGAAAATTGGATGCTATCAAATAAGTTGAAGCTAAACGTTGACAAAACATAGTATATGTGGATGGGAACATCGCATGGTTTCAGTTTTGTAGATGAATTTAAATCTCCGGTAACTAATCTCGGAATTATACTGGATTCTGACCTATCAATGGATGGTCACGTAAATAAACTTTGTCGTCGATGTTTTTACCAGTTTCATAAAATCAGGTCAATCAGACGATATCTGACTGTTGAGTCAACAAAGGCACTTATTTGTAGTTAAATTTGCAGCAGAATTGATTACTGTAATGCAATAATGTACAGTATAAAAGTTTCCCTTCAGAATGACAGCTCCAACCAGTATCCGAGGTTACAAACAGAAACAGATTAAGATCTTCTGATAATGGAGATCTCGTGATCCCAAAGCACAAATCTTCACGCTTTGGAAAAAAAAGATTTTCTGTGTCGTCAGCTCAAATTTGGAATGCACTGCCAACAGATCTGAAATGATTCAGCGGCATGGATCGACGGATGTTTAAGAAACGTTTAAAAAAATCATCTATTCAACAATCCACAGCGATGCTAGCGCTTCTGATGTCATTCTCCCCAAAATTTTTCCATGCCATCACAAATAAAAACAACGGCCCCTAGTCCCAAGCAGGCCTTAAGTGGTCAAGGGGTGCTAAGAATCACTGGGAAGTATGCAATAGCGGAGGGATGTTGCAGAAAAATTCAGAATAGCCCCTCTATGGTACTTCGACTTGGAACGCTCAATGTTGGATCACTGACTGGCCGCAGCATGGAAATCGTAGAAATGCTTGAGCGTAGAAGGATTGACATCTGCTGCCTTCAGGAGACCCGATGGAAATCGAGCGGTGTCTGTCAAATCAACTCAGACAATGAAAAATATAAGCTATTCTTCAATGGCCAAAAGACGGCCAAAAATGGTGTTGGAATTTTTGTCAAAAAACCACTAGCCCAAGAAGTAGCCTAGAAAATCAATCAATGACTGATTTTTCTGCATACGCACCACAGACAGGCGAATCAGAAGAGATGAAAAATGACTGCTGGACTGCATTCTCTGACACCATCTCAACAATACCAAAATCTGAAACAATCCTGATTGGAGGCGATCTCAATGGCCACGTTGGAGAGGAAACAGATGGTTTTGACAACGTACATGGCGGTTTTGGCTATGGGGAACGGAATGAAGATGGCAACCGCATCCTTGAGTTTGCTGAAAGTCACGGGTTTTGTTTACTGAACATATATTTTAGAAAGAAGTTGGAACATCTCATAACATACAAAAGTAGATCATCAGCCACGCAAATTGATTTCTTCGCTGTCAAACAACAACACCGAAGGCTATTCAAAAATGTCAAAGTTATACCTGGCGAATCATGTGTCGCCCAACATAGACTCCTTGTGGCAGACCTGGTTATCGTACTGACACAACATAAGTCTAAACAAATGCCTCAGAGAATCAAAAGGTGGAAGCTGAAAAGCAATATTCATCGAGAAAAATTTCAACAGATTGTCTCCACACAGTTAGACAACCAATCGCAAGCCAGTACAGAAGTACTGGTCGCTAACAATCGAGCAAGACATGAAAGCTCTAAATTTAAATGAAATGGATAAAACTGATCGTCTAATTTGGCGCAAAAAATTGATGGCAAAGAAAACAACGTCCTAGGTCGGGGAACTGGGTCTCCAGACGCTAAACGAAGATTGATTGATATAATCTAAACCAGCACGATGCAGGATTTCGGTAGATTTGATGTGGTCCTTCAGACTAATTCATTGCATCCATTGGAGCGTTTTCATATCGGTTCGGTGAAGTTGTTGTTCCTGTTTGGTTGTCATTGGCCATGTCTCTGCACCATATAATAACACCGGACGTATCACAGATTTATAAAGTCTTGATCGTAGTGGTAGTGGGATGTCAAGTCGCATCAATATAGAGAAAAGGAGATGTCATTTATTACAGGCTGCACGTATGCGTGCTCGAACCGCAGCTTAAGCTGTTCCAGCACAATCTAGAACATCCTCTAGATATTGAAACAATGTGACTTTCTCTACTTTGCTGCTTCGAATTTGTTGTTGTGGAATAATGCAAGCAGGACAATCAAAATTGGACACTTTAAATAAAGTACCAATTATTTTTGAACAACGTTTTTGACACCGCTGGTTACGCTGCTGAAACTTGATTGAATTGTTACTTACACCAGCTTTACAAACTGAACAGGGCCATCGTTTATAGCTGTGGATTGGATGGGTTTCACTTGTGTTCATTGCTTTGGTTTTTCTGATGTTGACTTTGAATCCATGATCGGCGAGTCTGGTGTTCCAATCTTCAAACATCTGTGCTGCATTCTGTTCAGACGTGGCTGTTAAAACAATATCATCAGCATATATTAGATTCCAAATGTCACAAGTGTGTATCGGCTTTATGATTTCTTCCAAATCTGCGAATTGCATCATTTGTTGATTTCCCCGCTATGAAACCAAATTGATAATATCCGATTGTGATGCTTGACGTTAATCTTTTCTCAATGATTTTCTCGACAATTTTCAGGGAGTTTTAACAGACCTATACCCAGAAATCAGAAGTCTTTTTTGACTTCATCAAAAAAGAGCTTAACTCTAAAAGTAATCCTCGTGATCTCTGGAGATCGCTCAACAACATCCTTCAACGTGCACAGTCTCGATCGGTTCAGGATTTTGGTTGTATGGATATGGTCTCTTAGGTTAACATGCAGCATCCAACGAATCATCTTCATGTCAGTTCTGTGAAGCTGCTGTTCGAGTTTTGTTGTCATCGGCCGCGTCTCTGAATACTTATTGAAAGCCATGAACTCTCCCTGTTGAATACTTATTTTAAGAAGAGGGCAGAACATTTGATCACATATAAAAGTGGGATGTCATGCACACAAATTGACTTTGTTGCCGTCAGACAACAACTCAAACGACTATTCAGGAATACAAAAGTCATTCCAGGTGAAGCATGCATTCCTCAACATCGATTGCTGGTGGCCGATATGATCATGGAAGGATCACGCCCTGTGACTAATCGAATGCCTACTAGAATAAAGACATTGAAACTGAAGAACACCATGTTCAGGGAGAAATTCGAAGAGTTGGTATCGGCACAGCTGGATCGTCTGGAAAAGGTAGACATAACCTGGAAATTATTTCAGGACACCCTAGTGAACGCTGCAACAGTTGAATGTGGAAAATCTGGACCAAAACGCCAGTAGAACAGCGAAACTTGGTGGCTGAACGAGATGGTGCAAAATGCTATTACAGTAAGAAAGACAATGGCAGAAGACGAAGACTGATGAAGATCGAAAGACATACTGATCAAAAAACACAGAAGCGAAATGTCAGGTTGCGATAGCTCGTGCAAATATAGATAATATATATCTGTAACATTGTAAGTGGTTTTGCGTATGTCAGAGCTGCAATAATAAAGACTAATAAAAAAAAAATCAATGCAAGGTATGGCTGTCTGAAAGTAAAGGCGAACAAATTCGGTTACGATACCGAATAGCAAATCAGGCCAAAAGACTGAAAATATAGTTGGATATAGTTGGTGCCATATGCATAAAGAAAAATAAAGTCATCATAATAATCTTGCAGAAAGATTACTTTGATCAGTTATTGAATGAAACAAATCCTATTGGGATGGACTTTGATGCACTTCCGGGGGAAGGACCGATTCTTTGATTGATCGATTGGTGAAAAAACAATATCATCTGCATATATCACATTCCATATGTTATCTGAGCGTATCGGTTTGGTTATTTCTTCCATCACCGTGATGAAGAGCAGGGGGCCGAGTATTGATCCCTGATGTCCAATGTTGTCGTCATCATATACCATAATATTTTGTTATTAAAAAACATTGATACCACATCTTACCGACTTATGTAATTATCACAACATTTTAACAAATGGTAAAATTCATGTTTGCTCTAGAATATGAAATTCTTTTAAAAAAATTTGCGCAACAGAAATTAATAAAATTTGCACCATTTACACATGGATTCATTGTTAATCAACCCTGAACTTTATATAGGCCCTAGACGATTTAGTTAAACTTTTATTCACAAAAATTGTTTTTATGGTTGTTGGTGTTAAGATTAAAAAATTTTTCCAACTTAACTGAGCTTCAGATTTTATTAAAATTTTCACCAAATTTTCTTATATATATTTTTATTAAATTCTGAAAATTTCACAAGCCCTAGATTATTATTTTGCGGTTTTTTGGGTATTATTATTTAATGCCCGTGTTAGGATCCATAACTGTGAAATCCTTGGCTAACCTCATGCAACTGATACACTAGCTCACTTATTCTGAATTAAATGATATCATAATATTTATTCCAAATTTTTAAATATACCACAAAAATTATGATTTCTTTCTTTTAAACGCTTTTTTAAAGAGCCAAACAGGCTGACTGCCAGATTTTTTGAGGTAAGTTTGTAACTGTAAGGATTTGATTAGGATAAATTGGTGTCGAATGTAGCTTTCTAAAACCTTGTTTAGGGTTAAAAATTTGCAAATAAATTATGAGCAAGTATTGCAAAATGTTTAAAATTTAGAAATGAAGACAAGCTTATAGTTGTAGATATTTGATTATTATAAACATTAGAACTTTTATAACAATTTATTTTTTACTAAATATTGTTTGTATAGTTTGGAAGTTATATAAATTCCTTTAAAAGCATAATGCTTTTTTTTGCATAATTGCAAATCAAATTTTTTTCAACTGAAATTTATTATTAATTTTATAACACTTGCATTTGTTAGGGTTCAGCGTTGTACCTTTCATGCAAGCATGGGTTTGTGTCAGTTGTTGATATCCTCTTGAACAATGGTGCACGTGTGTGTAATCCATGTGAAGCATCATGGGATTTCAACTGTGAGATGGCTAGTGATGGATTTGTTTTAATATCCAATAAAGATGAAGTAGAGGCTCACGATAATTTTTATGAGAAAAAGCATTTTTTTAGACATAAATGCTGTTTTCTCTGCACATGCACTGAAGGATGGGTTGACATTTTGAAAATGCTCATAGATCAAAGAAAAGGTTAACATTAACAATTAGTATAATTCTCATACCATTAACATTATTCTCATTATTTTTCATGGTATGGTTTCTTTTCATTTAATTTGCACATTTTTTATAAGAATTTTGAAAGTTAATTTTTACAACAAAAATTTTATTTGATAATAATTTTATTAATTCTTACTGTTGCAGAAATATTTAAACAAATTGATTGCTGCAAACATGTTTTGAAAATGGCTTGCTTTGGAGGTCGTGCTTCCATATTGCATTGTTGTATTGAAATGTTTTCCCAACTTTTAACTCACAAAATCGAATTATGTGATTATTTGAAATCTGAAGAACTGATATCTGTTTGTCTGAAAAGTATTTATATTTTTTACTTTTCTTATTCTTTTTTTAATGAATTATAGAACTGTGCCTGATGAATCATCATTTAATACTTGAGTTTTTAAAGAGTTCAATTTGTTTTGATAAACTGAAGTTGTATACATTTTTTAGTAGTTTGTCAATCAGACAGATTTTTCTTGATTGTAATTAAAAATATTCCAAAAATCTTAAAACTTAGTTCTCCTTACTCTCATAAATCATTCTTTTATTTTACATACAGACAACAATGACAATTTAATTCAAATATTTATTGATTATGGATGTATTTTGACGAAGCAGTTAATAAAACTCTACCCGGAGTGCATATTATTTTATTTGACCACAAAATTTACATTTGTCAACAATCATAAGTCTAAGAATCAGCAAATAGCCAACAAATTGATTGAAAATAGAGCTGATGCCTCTGGAGACATGACTTTTTACAATTTGGTATAACGGATTTTATTTTTAATACAACGAGCAACGTATTTTAGATTTTCATAAAGTTCTCCCATTGCTGTTTTCATAAATCAGTGATAAAATAAAAAATTTTTTTAAAAATTTGTTTTCAGATTTCTATCGATTGGCAAAACTGTTCTCTGTGTGCTATTTCAAAGGAATGGTTAGTTCCTTATCAAAACCAGCTGCTCGAATTGGACTTGAGTTACAATAACTTGAACATTCTTCCAAGCAACATACCATGGCAAATGATTAACTTGAAGTCATTTGTTGTCATGCATTCGTTTCTTTATGGTTTGTCATCTCCCTCTGAAACGACTCCGATACTTTGCCAGAGGTCCTTGTTTTTATTCGTTAGATAACGCATCTGCTTGTTAATAATAATTATTCAATGATTATACCAGAATTACTTGCTTTTGAATATCTTTGCAATAGGTTTGAAATACATTTCACAACTATTGTCCTGTTTTTATTATTAACATAATAAAATGCATATTTTCTTATTGGTCAACACGAGAATAGGCTAATTTATCACTTGCATTGTATTGTGTCGTGTACTGCACATTTGTCCTAACCAATAATTAAAAAATTGCAGTTTGGAGTTTATAAATTTGAGTCACAATGAAATGATTTATTTGCCAGCTGAGTTGTTCTACTTAAGAGAACTCAAGTATTTGAACGTTTCACACAATTGTCTGCAATCTCTCTCTACCAGTAAAGGTTACATTATGTATAATGAAATCATATTTATGTAACCATATTAGTTTTTGTGTAGTTTATTTATTTAATAATGAATATTTTGCAGACATTTTTTGGGTGCAATAATTTTTATATTTATGATCTAGTATGAAAACCTTTACTCATAGCTTATATCGTTTATTTCAAATCATGCTTTCAACTTATGTTACATTATTTTATGCAAAAATGTAATGAATCTTTTCTATTAAAAATTACGTTTAAAGAGTGGGATCAATCATTGCACAAAAATTATCAGTCATTATCAATGTAATAGGTCCAGGAAAATTTTATCTAAAGACCTTTTGATAAGAGAAGACCTGGCGAAAGATGTGGAAAGTTAGTTGGACGATGCATCATAGTAATGAGGAAGTATTATAAATATTGGTGAGACAAGGTCGGTCCTGGTGTGAAAATAGGAACCAGAGAGAAGATAAGAATAGGTCATATAATTCGTGACAAAAACATAATTGAAAGGAAAACCAAATAGAAGAAACCAAAGGGCAAAAGAAAATGTTTCTTCGTGGATGGTCTCGAAGACAATAGGTGATATCAATTCTTGAAGCGGAAAGAAAAAAACTGAGTTGAATAGAAATATTGGGTACCAGAAAGGTGAAGACCACAAACCTGCCTATAGGCAGATCAATAAAGTTTAAAGAAGAAGGCCAGTTTCCTTGAACTTATTTCTTTAAAATCATTAAGGAAAGACAATAATAAATTGGAATTATAATTATTTAATTTTTCACAAGTTTATAACAATTTTTATGATTTGAGCACCTGATTGCCTGACTAATCTATTTTGGTGTTTGTTTATATAACTTTCATTATACCGTTTAAGCTTTATTTTATTTATTTATTAATAAGATTTATAATGTTTTGGACGGACCTGTTTTTTTTTATTTATGTTTTTGTTTTATTTTCCTGTTTTATTTGTTTTATAGTCCTAGTTATGACATTAAACTGACCCTCACTGCCTTGTGAGTGATGTTGGATCATCAAAGGCCAGGCCCACCGCTTATAGCTGTTGTTGCGTAAGGAAGGGCGTCCTGCGTAAAAATTAGCCAATAAAATATTTATGATGACAAAAGTAACAATGGCCCTCAGTATTCGGCAGAAGAGGGTGCGAAGTATCCCCGGAGACCTAGTCCATGGGGTTGCGGTGCAAGGCCCTGTGGATGGTCTAGCTACTGGCACCCCACTCTATAGTGTGGCGGTGCAAGGCGCTATGGATGGAAGGATTACTTGTAGACCAAGGGATTGGAGGTTTGGTACCTGGAATGTAGGCACGTTGACAGGAAGAAGTTTGGAAAAGGTGGAGGAGTTGCAGAGGAGAATGGTTGACGTGGCTGCATTACAGGAGATCAGATGGAAGGGAGAAGGTACAAGGTTTGTGGGGGCTAAAGGTGGAAGGTATAAGTTGTGATGGAAGGGGGATGATGGTAAGAGAAGAGTTGGTGGAGAAGGTTTTGGAAGTGAGGCGGAAAAGCAATGGTGTAATTGTGGTGGTGATGGTGTTTGGAAAGGTAATAGTGAGGGTAATATCAGGATATGCTCCGTAACAAATTAGGAAGAGGAGAAGGATAGGTTTTATGATGATGTTTCTGACGAGATTGGGCAAGCGGGGTTGGATGAATTTGTGGTGTTGTTGGGTGATTTGAATGGCCATGTGGGAGGTCGTCCAAAAAAGTCCTGAACGCAGACCATACAGGAGGACTTGAAAGCACTTGGTCTCAAGGAGACAGACGCAGTAGATAGTTCGGCTTGGAGACAGAAGCTGATGAATGGAATAAAAAAGTCCGACCCATAACGGATGGAAATTATAAACGAGGATTAATTGATTGATTGATTGAATTGATTGTTTGTTTATTTATTTATAATAATTTAAAATTTTTTGCTTCCTATGTTATCTGTATTTTCCGATTTAAACAAAATATTAAGTATGTAATATAAATTATTAAAGATGTATGGAGTTGTCCCAAGATAGAAAGCTTATTAATGAGCTCAAATGATTTGAGTGAGATTCCGGCACAACTTCAGCAATGTACATTTCTAACAAAGTTATGTCTTAATGACAACAACATTTTACAGTTTACTCTTTCTTGGAACTGTCCTCTGGTTGGTTCGATTTATTACAAAAACTTCATTATATGCATGCGTATTCTTTTAAACTGAACTATTCACAAAGTATTCCTTGCATTTTAAATTTTATAAAATGTGTCAGCTACACCTTTGAAAGATTCAATGAACACTGATTTAATCAATATATATTTAACGATAAATAAATAGCCGAAAACTAAATTTTCTGATAATTTTTATGAAAATTGATGCATTTGATTATTATTATTGAGTATTATTGATATTATTGAGTATTATCATGCCATTAGATAATGCCAAGTTTTCGCGTGTTCAAAAATTTATTATATAAATATCTTTCCTAATTTTGTGGTTATTTCTTGCGCAAAATTTAATTTTTTTTTATTTCTTTGAAACATAAAACGTTGAAAAGGTGTTAATTTTAAATGCCACCTAGAAAACGTAGCCCGCTGGATGCTTAGCACTCCACTTTTGTTATTTCTTTGAATGTGGTTCTGTCTGAATTAGACTCATTCTGAAATGAATGCTCAATGCTTTAGCTGATTTAAAAAAAAGTTTGATTTAAAATTAAAATTTTTTTGAATCACTGTCAGTATTTGTAATGTTGCTAGAAATTGTCATTAGTTTATATATCAAGTGTGTTGCAAAGAGCATGTTTAAAAAAATTTATATAATTTATTGTTTTTTGACGTGGTGATTAATTTTTAAGATACAATTTTTACAACGGTGCTAAGAGAGACTGCCATAGTACAAATTTTTCAGAATTTTAGCAAAAATTATTTTGGTTGCATCAACTTTTGAAAAATCTTTTCTACAATACAGAATGTTGTGACAAAGTTATACGCTTTTAAGTTCAGTCCTTATTTTTGTTACTCTTTTTTTATTTTCAAGAACTTTTTCATCTTGATTTGAATTTTCATCACAATATATGGCATAACTACCCCTGCTTTAAATTTTAAATTAAACTTTAAATTAGAAATATTTGGATCTTTCCAAAAACAAGTTGATGGATGTGAATTTAGGATCTCAAAACAGATGGAATAAAACTTTAACAGAATTTAATGTTTCTAACAATCTTCTCGACCATATACATTTTTCTATTTGCTCAATGGGTTAGTTTGTATCTATTTTGGTATTTGTTTACTTGTTATTTCTGTTGAATTAATTTACATAGTTTAATTTCTTATTTAATCCTAATCATCAAATTAAATTATTTGGTTTCTTTTGTCATACAAGCTATGAAGCTTCAGGCTTTTTCCAAATAAAATTTGTTTTACTTTTATATGTTTTCAATACTTTTTACGATTTTTACTTTTAAAATATTTGTTGAATTGTTTGATATAATTGGAGTGCTCGCAATTGATGAGCATTACAATTGTATTAAAATAAACTTTACAGAGGTATTGGAGATATTGAATATGTCGCACAACCACATAATTGCTTTGCCTCCTCATAATGAATGGTCAACAGGTTCATTGAAAGTTTTGAATTTATCGTGCAACAAATTAGGAATTGACCCAGCATCAGTGTATGCATTTTTTATGTTTTGTTTGGTTTCAATTTTTTAAGGGTTAGATAGACCAACTTGCTATTCGTTAAACAAAATGATTAAATTTTTTTCATATTTCATCATTATTTTACCTTTGTCTTTTTATGCAACATAAAATTGAATAATGGTTCTGTACAAATGAAATGGTGTTGGTAAATTGGTTCCATGTCAGCGTAAATTGGATTTAAGTGTCCCGTTAAAACTTTGTTGCTTGAAATTTGAAAAAAAATTTTGGGTAAAAAATGGGAAGATGGTCTTTTTTTTTCTCGTGCCTTATCCTTTCAGGACATTTTCGACCGTCGACCTACACAAATCCTATCTTTTACACTTTGTAGTAGTTGAAATGTGGAGATATTCAACAAGTGACACAAGGACTTCAATGTAATTCGTTGTCGACCGCGGTCTCTTCTTCCCGCAATTTTTCCAAATTGTTAGAGTTTCCATTCCTTCCTTTCGCATGATGTGACCGAAAAACTTTAACTACCCCGTCGAATTATTGAATACCGTCGGGAAGATGGTAAAATTTATAAACTCAAATAAAATTGTGAGATTATGGAAAAAATAGATTAATTCTGCTGTTTTGTCTGCGCAATGAAGAAGTATTGAAAGCTGAGAAGTTGAAAACTGAATTAAAATCCAATAATAAAAGTTTATTAAGGTGATCTGCTTTCCGAGTTGGATATATTTATTTATTTATGGCGTAGTTTAAAACTTTGGATGAAACATAAAAATTATTTGTTTAGCTAGTTATAAAAAAATTAGAAAAGTTTGAAATGAGCCGGTCTAAAAAGGCGGAAAATTAAATAATGAAATACATATTGTTATAAGCAACATGTTCAATATAATCTTGATTGCTATCAATTATTTGTATTGAACAGCTATTGACTTGTAACTATTTTAGGCCACTGTCTGCCAACCAGAAAGAACTGTTGATGAAGCTGAATCATAGTTCCTCAAATCACTTTTTCAGCTCCGACAACAGTTATAAAAATTTATACCTGCAACTACCATTGTTGTTTGCTGATTGTTTACAGGAGTTGGATCTTAGTGGTAATGCATTGTCATGTGTTCCTGAAGCTCTCTCGACAATGAAAGAACTGAAGAGGATTGATCTGTCCAAGTTAGTTGCAACTTTGTCATCGTGCTGGAGTTTTATCATCTTTTATCCATTTTAATTTTTTCATCATTATTGTTTTATTAATTATAATTATGTCATCGCAGTAATTCTCCTAGTCCTTTCTATTGGGTTTCTCTCATTTATATAATTTTATGCAAAATAATATTTAACCTTTTACTAAAATAGTTTATGTTTTAATCAAATAATTTATTAAAGTAAATCACTACAAACATAGCAATCCAGCATTGAAGGATCTTCCTGAAGGTCTCTGTGATCTCTTCAACTTGGAAATGTTGTTGTTAGAAGGCATTGAGTTTAGTGATGTCAAACTGACTGAAATGGCAAAAAATGGTATCAAACAAAATTCGTTAATCACTTTATTATTTTTCAACATAATTTACTTGAAATTTATAAACATTTTTTTATATACATTTGTGTATTTGATCTAAATTTTTTTTAAATATTAGGATTTTCAACAAAAATGGTTCAAGCTTATTTAAGAAAACGGAACAAAGTTTGTGTGCAGTACCACAGATTACAGGTAGCGATCCTCGGAAAGAAGGTAAATATATGTGGCTATTGTTTCACCAGTCTGTATTATATTTAATATGCTGATCATAGTTGAAAACTGTTTTTTCACATGAGCTGTTCAATTTTTATTTTATTTGTTGCTCACGTTAGGTTGACATGTAGCATTAATTTTATTAGTTGTTTCAAAAAGTTTTCTTTTTTTTATCTGTTTTATGTTTTGTTCTTGTAAAATGCATGAAATATTAGTTTTGACTTGTCTTTGCTATAAATATAGAAAACTATTAAATAAGTCACCATTTTAATATCGATGTTAGGCTACCAATGCATAATTACCAAAGCAATGTTTACGTTTATCAACTAACAAAGGCTAAACAACGCAGTCGAAAGTCACGCTAATATTCAAAAAGGCTGACAATGATAAAATGTGAGCGTTCACAGATGCAAACAATTAAGGCATCGATCAAGGCAGTTTCCGTAGAATAATTTTGTTTATAAACCATGCTGGTGCACTATTATTAAATTAAACTTTTATGTGACTTGACAGTTGCTTAGAAACAACACGTTAATCATCTTAGATAAAACCAAAAGATTAGAAATAGTTCGACAATTAGTTGTCGTTAGATGTCAAGTGTATTACCGTCCCTATGCGTTTGACCATCAACAACTTTACTTACATAAAAGTCATTAATATGATTTACATGAAATGCTGGTCACCCATGATCAAAATTTGGTGCTGCTTTGAAAAAACATTCGATTTGAGTTATCTGAGTTATTCAAATTCTCCTCTGAACCTCTTACCGCGAGGCCTCTGTGTACGCGGAGCATCGATGCTGAGAAATGATGAGGAAATACACAACGAAAGCGCAATATCATCATTTGAATGATGCCATGTTTCCATCAATACTCCAGTCTGCAATCAATAGTTGTCGCCGCGATTTCTACACTCTTACCCACAACTGACCTAACATTCAGAAGGCCCACCCTAAGGCCAACCAAATTACCAAAACCTATAACGTTCTGCAGATACCTAGGTTGTCAGATGGAATTTCTAAATAAACAACTGACGCACGATGTTTTCTGGAATTAACCTCCAGCAATACTTTGGCAGAATATTTTATGACCATTTGATACTTTGTTTTTAGTGTCGACGAATTGAAGGCGGGGTGATACCCGTGGTACAATTATTGAATAAAATTAGACTAACAATTTTAAGTAATAAAAGATTTATACTGTGCGAAAAACACCTTTAGATAATGAAAGATTTATACAGTGTGAAAGAGGAATAATAATTGATAACATGGTTTGTCTAGTTAAAAAATTGGAATATATATATATATATATATATATATATATATATATATATATATATATATATATATATATATTGGATTAAGACTGTCAGAAAATTATTTTCAAGTTTCTTTAGTTCAAAACCAAAATTTTTGTTTGTTTTATGCATGATAAAACAGAAAAGCTTTTTTCGGTATTCCTATACCATCTTCGGTGTTCAAATTGATATGTTGTGGTTGTGCCCCTGATGATCAAATATTTTTAAATTATAGTTAAGAAGAAATTTGGTATGTTTAATTCATATTTAATTAAATCGTCTGAATATTGCAAAAGATCAACTCGGCACACTCCATTATACAATTGTATTGTCCCTCGTACTGTTTTATTTTCATCTTCAGTTTTTGTTTTTGGTTTAAAACTGTGGTCAAAATTACCGTATTTAATTTTACAAGTGTCTAACTATGGGCTATTTAAAAAATCGATTTTTGACTTAATTAAGAACAACAGCTTTCTGCTTTGTTATGTCACTACGTATTCTCTCGATAAACTGCCAGAGGTTGGGATGATGACAGTTGAATAGAGACTGCAGACTGTAACGCCATCCTTCACATATATTATTTGTTTGAGCTATTCCGTCTTGCCTCGCTGCGTATTTATTCCAAGTAGGTATCGGAAAAAGGGCTGGTCCATAATTTTCGGCTCTGCCTCTGATTCGTTGACCTCGATTGTACGAATGTCGAAAAACGTAAGCAATTTATCTAAATGTTCGCTTCGGCCGAGATATCGAATGCTTCTCCAACATCCTCTTCTGGTACAAAAGCTAACGCTGATAAGGAACGAATATAAATTCTGATATCGTCGTCGTTTTCATAAACTGATTTCATTCCAAGTTCGTTAACTTTTTTTAAAACGTTCTGGCACAAATGAAAGTAATAGCCAGTAACGGTAGCATTTAGATATGTAACTCTAAATGCATTCATCGCCGCTCGCTCGAAATCAACTAATATCATCATCATTGTTAGCGGTGAAATTTTAACGTGAGACGGACTGACGTGGGACGAAATGACGTTGGATGAATTGACGTGGGACTAATTGACACGGGACGAACTGACGTGGGACGAATTGACATGTAACAAAAAATTGACAGTATTTTTGACTAAATAAAGAACGAACTTTTGGTAGAGAACAGAATAAGATTTAAAACGGCGCTTACGGCGAGAAAATGTTGAAAAAGTTGATAAATTTAGTTTCTGATGTCCCCAATTTGTGTTTCATCCGTCCAAGACATCTCATTTTTGGACTAAAATATTTTCAAATTTTTCAGATAAGATTTATGGCTAACAACCAGTTGTTTTAAAAGTTATCACATTTACAACAACTATTTAAAATATCGGTTTTTCAACCAGACAAAGCACAATTAGCTCATCAGATTACTTATTAGAGGTGTTCTACGTTACATTACAATAATTAATATATTATTCATTTTTTAAAACCTTTTAGTTACATGGCAAAACAGCTCTGTGCAGGTCGTTGGAACAAATTTCAACAACGCCTGCAGCAACAACCTCATCACCAACACTCTCTCAAATTTATGAAGAAGAAACGGATGAAAACAGATCATTTTTGCATTTCCGAGAAATTAATTTTGGACCTTCCAAAAATTTCATCTACAATGTTTTAAGCAAGGTCTGTTTTAATTTGAACGACAGAATTGACGATGAAGATTGTTGAAATTTGATTTTACATGCTTTTTTAGTCATCAGTACCTCAAAAACTGGATTTTCATCTCTCTATTCAATTATTGGATGTACCCTACCACAATTCCAACCACTTCAATTTGGCTCCGTTCTTCACTCCTTCTTGTCTTTTCATCGTGGTTTTTGATTTGAGATTGTACAGAGATTCTCACAGTTTGCTGAGAACGTGGTTGTCAATTGTACAGGTATATATTATTTGCTTGCATACTTCTGTCTATTTGTTATAATTAGGCATGCTAACAAGTCGCTAACACTTAATAATGGATACGTTTTTAACAGTTCTATTACGTATATAAATTATAATGACAAATGTTGTAACCTGCACGATCTAAATTCAATCATCCAACCACCAATTCTCCCATCCACAACTCGTGGTGTGCAAATTTGCAATCGCGGGCTACAAAGATATCTGATTCTAACAAATAATTAGTAATGAAAACAGAATTATAAAATCAAGATTAATTGAAATTAATTGTATAGCTCAATTTGATTATTATATAAATTGTAAGTTGACTATAATAATTATGTTAAATTTCTTAATCTTTATAGATAATTGTAACAGGTAAAAAAGATGAAAAATTTTAATATTGAAAATTGTTTTTGATAAAATTTTCATGACATTTTACAAATTTTGCGAATAAACTTTAAAGGACTACAACATGAAAGGTCACGTAATTCTAGTTGGAACATTCCTGGATTGTTTGACTGAAGGTTTGTCTTATTCCATTTATTATAAACGCTATTTTATCAATTATTGTCCAAGTGAAATTTAAGCTGAATGTCTTAAATTTTTAAACTGCTCAAAATCATTTTTTTACTTTTTAAAATTTTTTGTGTGTTATTTTGGACGAATTATGAAATATCACTAAAAGAACTAAGATTGTAGTGGAAACTGGCATTTAATTAGTCCGGCATTAAAAAGCTATTGTTACGAACCAATGAATTCACTTTTAAACGATTACAATTTTATACTAATGTCAGCAATCAACATTAATGTCAAAAAATTGAACTATTTTAACAAAGAAGAAAAAAAACCCAAATATATCTCGCATTGTGCAGCTGCAAATTATTTCTCATCTACGTCTAAGGTCTATCTTTTTTATTCATCTGTTGACGAAAATAACGAAACCTTTCTGATGGAATTGTTTTGTGAATTTAATGAAACATCAGTGTTTATACAAACAAAAAAATTTAAAATACTCATTACTGATATACATTAGGGTGGTTACAACGCTATATGTAAAAAAAAAAATTTTGAAATCTTATTGGGGGAACCCCCTAAATTGTGCCACTTGACTAAAAATGACATTTGTAAAGTTTTAGCTCAATTGGATAATGCTAACCCGTGCCTCATCGAAGTTTAAATTTCGAAAAATTGGAAAATTTAGAAAAAAAACGTAGTTTTTTGTTTGTAAAATAAAAACGGTTCACTCTAGAAACATGATTTAAATTTTATTTTGTTCATTGATTTGTTTTCTTCAAATGTTACTATGATCACTATTTAGCTACAAATTATAGTTTCTGACATTTGCAATGTTGCAGATACACATTGAAAAAACGTTGAATTTCACTATAACACAAAAACACACAAAAACTTAATTTGTTTATGAAGAAATGTTTTTAAAATAACACCGTTGTATCTAAATCATTATTATTAACAAATAAACTTATTTTTTAATCATATTATATTGTTTAAAGTTGTAATACATCAAACAAATTCCTACTTTAACTCATTGTTTGTTCAAAAGGTAGAGGCTCGGATAAGGAGGCTTTTGAGCAACCAGGAAATTTTGTCCGACATTCAGCAATTACCTGCAAAAGATATTGTTTTTGTTCTTCATCTTTTGTAATACATGAGTTGTAATCTGTTATTAATTTAACACCCCTCTCTGCTGTATCAATTGTAACTTTTAACCCGTCCACAATCTTTTTACTCTTCAAATATTTTTCGTTATTACTCCATAATTCTGGATTGGTATGCAAAAATTGATCATTAATATTAAATCTTTTTAAAAAATTGATTGATTGTGATGAAATAAAATGGTCAACATTTTTGTCTAATATCTCTGATACTTCATTTAATTTTATTAGTGGTTTCATATCACAGTAGTCATCAAGTTCTTCATCCTCATTTGCTTGAGATATTAATTTTGTTGCCATTCTCTTTTTTACACAATTACTTAATGAATCATCGAATAATGAAAAAACAGCCTGCTCTGGACTGAGGTACCATAAGTGGTTGATAAATTTTGAAACTGATTTATCTGAGATTGACTTTATTGTAATTTACCAAAGATTTTAACAATTGTAAATCTTGGTTTGGAGCAAGTGCAGGTTTCGGGGCATCCAACCACACTTTCACATAAATATTTATAATAAATAGACAAATATCATGGAATCCTTGCTATTCAAAATTTGTCAGTTGAAACTGTTCTCTAAATAGGTATATTTTCAATGAATATATCGCCTTCGCCATCCACCTTGCGTGATGAAAAGCACCAGGAGCCGCAAACACGATGTTTTCTGACGGAAAGCGTTCTAAAAATATAAGACAAAGACTAATCAATTCTTTGTAATCGCTCCTTGAATGATGAACTGTTAATTGTTTTAGAAGATAACTTGAAAGTTGATCCGGATTAATCAATTTGCTGGCTTCACTTTTATCTTTAACTCCTGATTTAAATTTTTTTTTATCAATGCTGTTCCATTCAGTTTTAAATTTTTTGAAAATATCCGATTGAGGGCCTGTAGTCTTTCCCAATGCAGCATCAAAACCTGATCTCAACACTACCTCCAAAATGTGGTGGCGACATGAAAGATACAATAATTTTTTCTCCATCAATTGCTCTAATAAAACGCAAGCGCCTTTAATGCGGCCAGTATTCACGGCAGTTGTGTCAAAGGACATTGCTTGAATCTTGTCTAGTGCACCCCACTTTCCAAGTTCTGAATAAACAGATTTTGCAATCGTACTGCCAGCACCATTTTCTAATAGGGGAACTCCAATTAACTGTTCTTCTTCTCCACAGCTAATTAAGACTGCAACTCTTTCAACATTTTCTTTATTTAACATATCTGGAAGTAATTTCCCACCCCAATGTACAACTGCTCCTTCTAATTCTGAATTTGTAAATCTTTGTTGAATGAGTTTTGCTCTTTATTTTCTAAAGTGTATTTTTTACCTCTAGTGTATTTTTTCATCTTTTTTTCAGGCCCATAATTTAGTGTCACCATATCTACCTTCTCTGTGCGTTGATCATTATCTTCAATTTCATCTTCATCTGACGTGCTGCTGCCTAACGATTTAAGCTCTTCTAATTCTAAAATATAAAACACATCATTATAATTAAACAAGAATAACAATCTACTTTAAATTAACTCACCTGAACTTGTCCTAAATTTTGTTAACCTCGCCATTTCCGAAGCATTTCTTTTTTGACAACGCTCTTCAGCTTTTACACACTGTAAATCAACTCCTCCCATGACACCTGGGCGCCCCTTTTCTCTCTGCTTAAGCAAAAACAATTTGTCTTCCTCTGTTGCAGTCTGGAGTGCATCTTGATGAGCTATGTCAAATAGGTCATCAAGTATGGCCTTAAAAAGTTTTTCTTTCTCTGTCTGAGCTGGTCCAGTTCTGTTAGAATTTTTTTGTAGTTTTCTCCATTCTTCATGAAGTTTTTCTAGCTTAGCAACAGAGTCTTTCAAATGTTTTGTTTGTATCCTTGCTTTCTCCCAGAAAATAAAAACTTTTTTTATCGTTAACCTAGCCGCACCTTTTATATTCAGCTTTACTTCACGGATGTTATAAAACAAACTACGTAACACTTGACGATTTGATGGTAATTTGCCACCAGTAATTTGGTGGGTCACAAAACCAATTAAATAAATTTTATCCTTTTGTCTTGAACTTCTCGTAGCAGATGTAGATAAAAAGGAAGCCATCACAACTGAGAATACCAAAACAATAAACGTGGTGATTAAACTATTTAATATCGTGTGTTTTAAAAACCGGAAAAACAAAGAATATAAACCAAAGATGAAAAAACGTGGATAAACCAAAAGATCTTAATATTAATACATAAAAACAACATATTGCATCCGGGTTAGTAATAGTAAATAAGTTATTGTGTGTTTTTGTGTTATGGAGAATTTCAACGTTTTTTCAATGTGTATCTGTAGCAATGCAAATATGTCAGAAACTATAACTTGTAGCTAAATAGTGATTATTATAACATTTGAAGAAAACAAATCAATGAACAAAATAAAATTTAAATCATGTTTCTAGAATGAACCGTTTTTATTTTACAAACAAAAAACTGCGTTTTTTTTTCAAAATTTTCCAATTTTTCAAAATTTCTACCTCGATGAGGCACGGGTTAGCATTATCCAATTGAGCTAAAACTTTACAAATGTCATTTTTTAGTCAAGTGGCACAATTTAGGGGGTTCCCCCAATAAGATTTCAAAAAAAAATTTCTTGTGACCACCCTAATGTGCACGCGCAATGGGACAACTAAATATTTGGGATCAGACAACGATTAGTCGTTTGATATTAAGAAGGATACAACTGTAAATAATTATGCTGATATTTCATCTTTTATCCAAGTTAATTAAACTGTTATTAATGCAACATTCATTTCCAAGGCGGTACGAAGTACAACGGGCCCTCTTGTTAAAAATACAAATAGTTTTGAGAAATTAAAATTTGCACATATTAAAAATAATAAACTGCAACTTTGAAATACTAATAAAAGTTGGGCTTTTTGACCCTAGAATAAAAGTTGGACTTTTTGACCCTAGAACCCTGAAGTTACTTTATATAAATTTATAAAACTGATAAATTGAAATCATAATCATACGCTTTTTTTCTTTTTTAGGAAGAGAATATTTACAGAAAATCAGGCAGCACTTATTGAAGTCCTTCTTCTTTAAATCCATGTACCCATTTGTTGAAGATGTAATATTTGTGTCAAATATTAACAACAAGGAGGGCATTCTTCACCTTAGGAATGCTATTGTTCAATATTACAAGAAAGAAAATCAACTTTCAAACACTTTAACTCGTAGCATGAAACATAAAAATTATAATTCTTTGATACCAAGGGATTATATAGAATGTATAAAGTTATTAGTCACTGAAAGAGAAAGAAGGCTAAAGGAAGGTGTTTGTCCGATACTGAATGAAGTAAAAGGCCTTGTACAATTTTCTGACAAAAAATTATTTTTAACAAAGGAAGACATGCAACTTGGTTAGCAGTTATGTTGTGATAATTGTAGATATTTGTTATGACTACTTCATCTTATACTTATTACTATTTGATATTTTCACTTGTACAAACCCACAAATATAAACTTGTATGATGTATACACATGGTTTCAAATTAAATGCAAGGATCAGTTTTTTGTTTGTTGAAGTTTGACATTTTGTGAAAAGAATTATTTAAAATTGTTAGAGTTGTATAACAATCCAAGTTTCGTGAGAATATTATTTAAATGTTTTAGATAGACAATTTAGGTAAAATAATTTTTTTAAATTAGTGGAAAACTCGGAAAATTTAGGAGCACAAGGATGTTTAGCAAGATGTGTTTGTTGGTTTAATGCTTGGCCAAAATTCAACTCTAATGTTGTGCGGTTGGAAAAACACGGTTACGCACAAATAATAATAATTAGAATAATAGTAATAATGATACTATATAATTACCCAAGATCAAGCGTTAAAAACAAGAAAATTTAAAAACGGTTTCTAAAAATGCCTGATGCTTCATGGTTTTATTACAATAAATTCTACAATCAATCAATCAATCAATCAATCAATCAATGATTCTTCTTTGTCCATCCATTGAGAGACCGTCGAGGCGGATGATGTACATCTAAGCATGCTTTTTACTTTTATTTTTTCCTTTTTTTTTTCCAAAAAACTTTTTTATCTTTGGCCAGTTTTATTGAATTCAGAATACCAACACCAGTCCATTCACTAATGTCATCCATCCATTTCTTTGCAGGTCTACCAATTTTTTTCTTCCAATCTCTTTTCCTCATTAGTGCCATCTTAATCAATCCGTCTTCTCTCATTCTACAAATGTGTCCAAAAAATCCCAATTTCCTTTCTCTGACTTTGTCATTTACATTTTTTTGTCTTCCAAGTTGATTTCTGATGGTTTCATTCTTTACTTTCTGCCTCCAACTGATTCCCAACAAATTTCGGTAACATTTCATCTCAAATGTTTCCAATCTGTCTTTGTCTCTTTTCTTTATTGTCCATGTCTCACATGTATAGAGCAAGCTCGGAAAAACACAAGATTCTATCATTCTCAACTTTGTTTTTATAGATATATTTCCACTTTTCCATATTTCTTTCAATGATGCGAACATTCCATGGGCTATTGCTATCCTTCTGTCAATTTTTTGGTGCAGTTGTCACAGGTTATAAGATTGCCAAAATACACAAACCGGTCTATTTGTTCTAGTTTTTCTGATTCTATCTGAAATTCCGCATTGTTTCTGCCTTTTCCGTAATCATCACCATCTTCTTTGTTGATATGCAACCCGTGATCTTTTCCACCAACATATGTTAGTTCAATTAGTTTCTGTAGACCTTCTCTAGAAGGTCTATATCGTCTGCAACCCTGAGATCTTTGACAGTTCTCCTTCCTATGTCAATTCCACCCAATTCCGAATTTTCCATTTTTTCTAGCAATGCTATGAATAGTATTGGTGATATTGGATCGCCCTGTCTGCTTTCAATGTCTGTCTTTATCCAATCTCCAAGTTCTGTACCTATTATTACCGACATTTTTGATTCTTCATAAAGTCCTTTCAGTACTTTGACCAGCTTTTCTGATGTCCCCATACTTTCTCATGTGTCCCACAAGCATGTATAAGTTCTACATGACGAGGTAATATCAGTGTGTATATTAATTTTAATTTTACATCAAAGTAAATTGACCACAAAATTGTAAATACTTAAAAAGTTAATATAAAAACCAGTTGACGATATTCGAATGTATTAATTATTGTAGAGCAGTTGATGTATAACAAGTCAGCAGCTTCAATTATCTTGAAAGTCTGATTACCTCAGGTTGTAAATGTGATGTGGATATCAAACGAAGGATAACTATGACGAAAGATGCTTATTCTAAAATGAAAAACATTCTCACCAACAGTAAAATCAAAGTATACACAAAATTAAAACTGTTAGGGTGTCACATTTTTTTTGTGCTAACTTAGGTTTTGAGCCCTGGACAATTTCTAACAAAACAGAAAAAAGATTAATGCTGCTTTTTGAGAAAAATTATGAAAATTTCATACTTCGAACGAGGATGCGCTAAAACACTCCGGTTAAAAAAAAGAGGAAATTACTACAGATAATCCGAAATGGAAAAAATGGAAAATTTAACAACTACTGGAAAGATTGCAGGAAAAAGAGATCGCGGTCAACAACGAATCACATTCGTAAAGTCCTTGTGTCACTTGTTGAATATCACAGCATTTCTACTACTACAAAGTGTTAAAAATCGGGTTTTGTGGAGGTCGGTGGTCGCCAAGGTCCTGAAAGGATAAGGCACGAGAAGAAGTTGATGTAGTCGATAAATGAATGTGAGTTCAGATTTATGTATTTTTGACGTTTACATTGTTTGCATGAAAGTGTAGGTTGGTTTCATAACATGTCGTCAGTTCAAGCACCTCTATTTTGCAACCGCGTAGAATAACATTGCCGAGAATTACGTGTTAAATAACTGCAGATAGGCAGCAGTTAGTTGGAGCTTTTGACTTTAACTCTTTTATGATCAATGTCCGCACTATTGTGTCTGTTTATCTTGTCAGAGCTTATGTTGAACCACAGTTTGACGCGTCATGTTTATTTGTTTGACGAACGCTGCAAAGGGGACGTATGGGAGTTGTAGTTTTACCCTATTTGAACAATTTTAAACGAGATATATTGTCCGACTATTCGACTTGGTGAAATTTGAAGTGGTTTCGCGTCATTGATTTCTTTATTGATGTGTTTTAAATTTCCTCAAATTTTCCGTATTGTTTTTCTGCGGTTTTTTAGTGACACAATGTTGATGTGTTTTAAATTTCCTCAAATTTTCAGTATTGTTTTTCTGCGGTTTTTTAGTGACACAATGTTGATGTGTTTTAAATTTCCTCAAATTTTCAGTATTGTTTTTCTGCGGTTTTTTAGTGACACAATGTTGTTACCGCCAAGCTTTATTTGTAACAAAAGTACCTGCGGTTACTCAGCCACTGCTTGGCATATCAAGCCATTCTCCGACTTTACCTATAATCAGGTTATCCAAGTTGGACGATATCCATGTTGTTGACAAATTTTAGTTGTAGAATTCAAACTGTATGTGTGTAGGAATGAAATATCACATTATTTGATGTTTTTGTTGCAGCTTAATGTGTTTGATCAATTTTAAAACGATTTCCATTTTGGCTCCCGTATTTCATTAGCGGGTTGAAACATAAGTTGAAGAGTATTGGCGAACACAGGTCACCCTGGAGTACACCTTTGTCGACCGAAAGTGTTAACGTTAGTTTGTATTGGATAACCTGAATAGATTGTGCATCATCTAAAAAGCTGATATAGAAAATACACCTGCCAAGGAAACAAGGTTGTAGAGGATTCAATGGAATAATGACTGCTTTTAAATTAGCAATCAAGCAACTAGGTTTATATCTAAATTCAAACAAAGCTAAATAAATGAAACTAGTTGGGCAACACAAAAACAACAAAACAGTGTACTCAAAACAGTTACCAAGATGTACAAAAAATACAAATTTGACAATAAAAAGGATATTAAAAGTAAAATGATTATAGAAAAACTTCAGCTTTATAAGCAAAAACCACTTCATGGTCAGTTATGAACGATGTTGATAATGAACAACTCTCTCGATTGGCCCAGGACCTCAGATTTGAAAGGTGGAACAGAAAGTTTGCTAATAGCCGCTCAGGACCAAGCTTTAAATACAAGGTTTCGCCAAAAAAATATTTCAAAACATCAAGTAGATAGCAAATGTCGATTGGGTCACCTATGTGAAGAGCATTATCATCATATTTATCGTTTTAGTATATTGGTTGGAAAATGAATATTTAAATCGCTACAACGGGTAGCGAGCTATATACACTGGAAATTGTTGAAGCACCACAATTTAGAGGTATCTGATAAATAGTACGAGCATCAGTCAAAATCAGTAATCAAACAATATAACACCATTGTTATGTGGGATATCCCATTAAATACTGATTGAATCATTAATGTTAATAGACCAGATATTGTCCACTACGATAAAAACAAGAAACAAACAATATCTATTAATTGATATTTTGATACCATCTGATCATAATGTAGCAATAAAAGAGGCAGAAAAAATAGGAAACTATAAAGATCTGGAAGAGATCAGATAAAGATCAGAATGTGGAAATGCAAAACCTCAGTAATACCGGTATCGAGGGGTTACTAATCGCTACGTTGAACCTCTAGCCATAATTCCTGCTGACATCAGCTTCCACGTACTTCATAAACAGCTATTTTAACAACTCACTTATTGACAGAAAGTTTCTAGATACCAAATAGAATACTTTTAGTAATCCGTATGTTTCTAAAAAAAATTAGCACCAGTCAAGCTAAGGCTCTAGTAAATTAATGAGAGAATAGTAGGCTATTCTATGACTTGTTTGTAGATTATGGTGCATAAGGTTCAGAAAATCTTCACCTTGGGTTGGAATATGGAAATGTATTTTCCAACAATCAAAGCTAAAACATTTTTAAAAAATCCACAAATTGTTCAAGTTAAAATTTGTTCAAATTGGTGACACACCTTTGAAGTAAATACAAGAGGTATATTATTTTTAATTTTATATTAACAATATTTTTTTTTAAATTAATTTTTTAATTGATGTTAACTTTGCATTGAAAAAAAACATTTATTGACACCATCGGATGGAAAAAGTACGTTTTTTATTTTTTAATTAAAGTAAATGGAAACAACTTCTTTTGGTAGAGACAATTTCTAGTATACTACATCTGGACACATAATGGACATTTTCATATTGTTCTGAGACTACCCATCCACTCATGTAGTATACTACATCTGGACACATAATAGACATTTTCATATTGTTCTGAGACTACCCATCCACTTATGTATTATCAATCACGGTATTGGTGCTAGCAGAAAATGCTATAATTAAAAATAAATAAATAATATTAATAAAACGTAAAATAAATGAAGTAGGGTGTAGGTGATGTAGTAATGAAAGTGTACATCATCCAGTGAATGTGTACATTGAGAAATATGATCAGCATAAACTGACTTTAAATCGTACTTCGTTCGCAATGGAATGCATTAGATGACTATATGACAATAGTTTAAACTTTTATCAAATTAATTTTAACAAATAAAATTAATCAGTAAAAATTTAGATTTGAGCCTCGTCGAAACATGCATTTTTTGTAATGGCGGAGCAGGTTGTCGATCGAACGAATGCAGCCAATGCTATGGCGTTGTCATACAGATAACGTTATATCGAATCATTACAAACGCGAATATGGTTTTGTTCAAATCAATCAAACTTCGTTTAGCGTCCAGAGACCCAGTTCCCCGAGGTAGGACGTTGTTTTCTTTGCCGCCATTTTTTGCGCCAAATTAGACGATCAGTTGTATCCATTTCATTTAAATTTAGAGCTTTCATGTCTTGCTCGATTGTTTGCGACCAGGACTTTTTTGGACGGCCTTTGGGACGTGTGCCAGGTACTTCAACATCTTCAAGAGAAAATATGGCGCTGTTTTCACTTCGTTTGACATGACCAAACCACCGCATACGGTGTTGCTGATATTCGTCTTTTATATCATCTAAACCAGCACGACGCAGAATTTCGGTAGATTTGATATGGTCCTTCAGACTAATTCGTTGCATCCATCGGAGCATTTTCATATCGGTTCGTTGAAGTTGTTGTTCAAGTTTGGTTGTCATTGGCCATGTTTCTGCACCATATAACAACACCGGACGTATCACAGTGGTAGTGAGATGTCACGCCACAACAATAAAGAGGCAAGGAGATGCCATTTATTTCAGGCTGCACGTATGCGTGCTCGAACGGCAGCTTCAGCTGTTCTGGTACAATCCAGAACATCCCCTAGATATTGAAACTATGTGACTTCTCTATTTTAATGGCTTTAAAAACAGTGTTATTTCGAATTTGTTGTTGTGGATTGATGCAAGCAGGACAAACAAAATTGGACACTTTAAATAAAGTACCAATTATTTTTGAACAACATTTGTGACACCACTGGTTACACTGCTGACACTTGATTGAATTGTTACCTACACCAGCTTTTACAAACTGAACATGGCCATCGTCCAGTAGCTGTGGATTGGATGGGTTCACCAGTGTTCATTTCTTTGGTTTTGCTGATGTTGACTTTGAACCCATGATCGGCGAGTCTGGTGTTCCAATCTTCAAACATCTGTGCTGCATTCTGCTCAGACGTGGCTGTTAAAACGATATCATCAGCATATATTAGATTCCAAATGTCACCAGTGCGTATCGGCTTAGTGGGTGGAGCGTCAAAGTTAACATTGATGGGATTTATTTAGTTTAACAGACGGTTGAAGTATTTTCTCCACTGTAACTTGATCCCATCTTGTTCAAGAACCATCTCATTTTTGTTGTTTTTCATACATGAGGCACCAACAAAGCAAAACCTTGCGATTGGTGATCTAACTGTGTGGCGACAATCTGTTGAAATTTTTCTCGGTGAATATTGCTTTTCAGCTTCCACGTTTTGATTCTCTGAGGCATTTGTTTAGACTTATGTTGTAACAGTTCGACAACCAACCAGGTCTGCCACAACGAGTCTATGTTTGGCGACACATGATTTCGACATTTTTGAATAGCCTTCGGTGTTGTTGCTTGACAGCGAAAATATCAATTTGCTGATGGTCCACTTTTGTATTTTATGAGATTATCTAACCTTTTTCTAAAATATGTGTTCAGTAAACAAAACCCGTGACTTTCAGCAAACTGATGGAAGCGGTTGCCATCCTCATTCCGTTCTCCATAGCCATGTACGTTGTCAAAATCATTTGTTTTTTTATCCAACGTGGCCATTGAGATCGCCTCCAATCGGGATTGTTTCAGATTTTGGTATTGTTGAGATGGTGTCAGAGAATGCAGTCCAGAAGTCATTTTTCATCTCTTCTGATTCGCCTGTCTGTGATGCGCATGCAGAAAAAAAGTCATTGTTTGCTTTTTTGTGATGCGTATGCAGAAAAATTAGTCATTGTTTGCTTTTTTAGGCGAAATTGATCCACATGAGACGTGAGTTAATCCTTCTTAATGAAGATAAGAAAAAAAATGGCGGCTCGTTCTTACGTTGTTAATAAACTTTTGTATTTTCTTATAAATAATTCAAATATGTTAGAAAATGATTGTTTTTTAAACAATACTGCTAATTTTTACAATAACGACGATATAGTATTTGCTTTAAAACAACTGAAAAATGATTTGGACAATTTAAAATGTGAAAAATATTAAAAGTTAGTCTCGCGGGGTAATCTGAAAAAAGAAAAATTTCTGGAAATAATTTCAATTTTGAAGTTTTTGAATGCAAACTACATGCTTGAAAAATGTCCTATTTTTTTTAGTATGAATATGGCAAAAATTCCTAAATTAGACAACATTTTGAAAACAAATTTTGAAAAAATTAGAAAAGATATTATCGACGTGTTAAATAAACAACAAATGCAAATAATAGAATCGTTGCAGCCATTGTTGTCACAACGTGAAGAAAATTTTGCGGCAAAAAATAAAGTAAATACCAAAGCGCCGAACAATATCAACAATGAAAATGTAACTCAAAAAGCGAAATCCCATAACGTCAATGACGTTAATGAATTAATCAATTAATGAATTTTCAGTTGTAAAAACTGAAAATTGGGCTGATGATCTCGATACCCCAACCGATAAAAGTATGCAACCATTTACTTTAGCGGAAAAACGTAAACGACTAAATAAGTTTCCAGGAATATTATATGAAACTCAAAATTCCGATAGTGTTCAACCCCTAAAATACTCAGAAGTTGCCAAAAAAACAAAATCAAAAATAATTGGAAATAAAGTAAATAATGAATGCAAATTAAAAGCAGAGAAAATATTGTTAAAAAAAGTTTTTTCATGATGAGTAATGTTAAGAAATGCCATCGAAACGATGTAGCTGAATATTTAACAAAAAATGGAATTAGAGTGATATCTTGTTTTCCAATTTTTAACAAAACAGAAGTTGAAAACAAAGGCAAAGAAAATAAAATTGATGAATCATCAACAATGTTCAGAGTTTGTGTCGAAAAATCTGATTTTGTCAAAATGAAAGATACGGACGTAATACCACAACATATAATCGTCCGTGAATGGCAATTCAACCCAAAAATCAGTGAAAAAGTTGTTTCTAACTACGATGTCTGATTCAATTTTGTCAATGAACGTTAATCCAAGTAAGCATTGCAAAATTTGTACTAATGATGAAAACTCTCAGCAAAATATTGCCAACATATGTAAGATTTATGATGTAAATGATTTTAACTCTGAAATGAAAATAATTAAAAACCAATTTAATCAAAATTTATTCAATATTCTACATATAAACGTAAGAAGTTTGTTGAACAAATCTGATGACATTTATGATTTCTTGCGAGAATTGAATTTTGAGATTGATGTTCTCGCAATTTCTGAAAGTTGGCTCAATGACAGCAACGAAAATTTGATTAACATTAACGAATATGTCTTTAAAGGTAAGCACCGAAGAATAAAACACGGTGGAGGAGTCGGCCTTTACATAAAAAACAATTTAGATTACAAAATCCGAGACGACATAACAAGTATAAAAAATGAATTCGAATTTCTCGTTCTAGAAATAATAAACAGACCTATCACAAAAAATGTTTTAATCATTGTGACATACCGACCACCAACTTATGATGTCAATTCGTTCATCGAATGTTTAGATGATATTTTGCTGGTTGCAAATCATGAAAACAAATTAATAATAGTTGCAGGTGATTTCAACATTGACCTGTCAGAAAGTAACAACAAAAACAATAAGTTCAATTTTTTGCAACTTATGAACAGTTACAGTTTACAACAAACAATAACAATTCCGACAAGAGTAGAATGTAATCGACAATCTATTATTGACAACATATTCACAAAAATTCCTGAAAACATCTTGGTTTCCGGCGTTATTTCTCACTGTCTTTCCGACCACCAGCCAGTTTTTTCATCAATCAATCTTTCAAAAAAAATGTTTATGTTTCCTGAAAAAAGAAATGCTCCATCAGTAAAATTTTCTTATTCAACAAACAGAATCAACAATCTAAATCAACGTCTCAGTCAGGTGAACTGGCAAGTCGTATATGAGAGCGCAAATATTGAAGAGGCATTCCAAACTTTTATAACTATTTTCCAGGAATGTTTTCGTGAATGCTGTCAAGTTACCAATCGAAATACTATCATAAAAACAATAAAAAACAAACCTTGGGTCTCTTCTGAGTTAAAAAATCTCATCACAAAAATAAATAAAAGTTACAAAAAGTTTCTTTTGATTCCTAATAAAAATAATTTAAATAAATTCAAAAGCCTTAAAATAACTTGTAATAAACTAAATAAATCTTTAAAAAAAATTATTATCATCATCTTTTTGAAAAATATAGAGCAAAAAAACGTGGACTGCTCTGAACGAGTTAAAAAACAGAAAAGACGTAAAACCCGATAGTATACAAAAATTAACAAATGAAGAAAATGAAATACCTGACCCAGCAAATGCTTTAAATAACTATTTTGTTGAATTAGCACCGAATTTACTGAAGCTCATTCCACGGAATTATCACTGGAAGAATTACTTCAAGACATTTGTTTCCAACTCGTTTTTTTGTAGATACGCAACGGCTGATGAGATCATTGCAACAACAAAATCTTTGAAACAAAAAACATCAAGTGGCTACGATGACATACCAACAAAAATTGTCGTCTCTACGATT